AGAGAGAGAGAGAGCGAGCGATGGGGTGAAAGAGACGTTATTGCGTAGAAAGAGCAAGCGCGAGTGGACGAAGAAGGGGCAGTCCGAGGAACAGGGTGAACCTGCGACCGTGATCTTTAAGGATAGTGGTTGGCGCGTGTGGAGAGCACGCTTTTTCCTCGAAGGGGAAAGGATGGAGACAGGAGACCGAATAATCGCCGAGACTTATGATACGCAAGGAATGAAAGAAAGAACGCACAGATTGAAAAAGACAAGATCGACACAACGACACGACGTGTTTTACGAGATCTTTTATTAATTGAATAATCAATTGCATTGTTCCTTCTTAAAACTGCAAATTAGATGTAAAAATTTAGAAATTAAAAGTCGATAGGATTTTCTATACGGTTATTCTCGCGATAATTAACATTGCTTTGCAACGTTCATTTTAATTATATTACACTGTCCTCGAATAGCTTTTCCTTTCGTGATTCAAATATACGCGAACGTGTACATTTGTTATTCTATGTTTGCAGAACTATTGCTTTTACGATATTGACAGTTCCGGGTGTTCCGCGGTGAGCTTTTGCAAAAGTTCGCCGCAGCTGTCAATATTTCAAAAGCGATCGATACAAATCGCACGGTGATACGTCATGTCTGGAAAGTCGTCGAGGTTGCGCAAAACTGCCGTATATAATATCGTTTAAAAAAGTACAAGTCGGCGTGAAAGAAAAGATGTGAATCATTAGAAAATGACCACTATCTCTAACGAGTTATTAATTTATAATTTCACGTAAAATGTTTTCTAGATTAATCGCACTTCTTTTAATTGTTTTTCACAAATTAAGTTTTACTTATCAAAAATTTGTTTATTATCTCATTGCTGAATAAATAATTTTTTAATTCTAAATTTTTGCACTGTGTGCTACAAAAATTTTTTTCGAATATTAATGTTAGGTTATTGTTTATTAAAGTTTTATCTGCAAAATAAAAAATTATTTACCTTAAAAGTAAAAACAACGCATTTAACAATAAAAATAAAACGATTAAGTGTTCAAATATCGTCCTTTTTCTAAATATATATCGTTTCTTGTACCAATCTCGAATTCAATTTCGTCAAAATGGAAATATTCAGTCTGAAAAATATGTTTGTTTAAATTTTTTTTAAAACACACCCGAGCATATCTGATAAAATATCATATATTTTGTAACTCATTATGAATCATATAGTTTCAAATAATGATAAATTATGATAAAAACTTATCATAAATTATCATGAATCATAAATTATTGAATTTATTATCACTAAACAAATAACTCTTTATTTATCAAATCTACATACAATTAGAAGATATAGATACAAGTATTTCATACCAAAGAAGATGATTTCCTGTGACTAATGCTGCATAACAATGCTTGATACGCAATCGTCTCGTTTCCTTCCGCATTCCTCTCACAAACGAAACCCGCTCGCGGAAACACGCCCTTCGCGACGATACGGTTACCCCCGCGGGGGTCGTTCTCTTTCGAGCGTGCGGAAAGGGCGTTGGAAACGGGGGGGTGGGAAGGGGTGCACGCGTGCAACCGTGTGCCTCTCCCGCTCGCTCTTCTATCTCACCTGCTTGCGCGCCGGGCGTGCACAGCGCGTGCCTGAAGCCGAGGACTCACGTCGGAACCACCATCACACACAGTTTGGTCGTGATAAAAAAAGTGGAAGAATGCCCTTCGGATCCCCGTGCGTATACTGCGTGTCACGCATGCACACGCGCGCGCGATCTTCGTGGCACGGGCGAGAAGTACGCACACGACCACATGTCGTATACGAGTATGATGTTACACACACACACACACACGCACACACACACGTGAACACAGTGGAGCTCGCACTCTACCCTGTCAGCCGCCTGTCGTCGCCGTGGAGACAAAGACGGAGATCCGAACGAGCGAGCGAGAAAAATAGAGAGGATGAGAGAAAGGCGAGAGAAATAGGGATAAAAAAAAAAATCGAATGGGAATCAAGAAGCGGGATCTCTCTAGGACGATTGCCGAATTAATAGACCGGTTGATCCACAAGAGGCTCCTTTCCGTGTTGCCGAAAATATCTCTTTTTTTTGGTCGTATCTACCTTCGCTTATAAACGCGGCGAATCGTGCACGTTGAAGTCTACCAAATGACGAGCGGACGATTCATTCATTGTTATTGTTCGCATTTGTCTATAAAAAGAATCCTGAGCTTTGATAAGATTGATATAAAATTGCGCTATTCGATACGAATGATGTCGCTCTCGATGGCGATTTTCGGATCATGTCGAACATAATCGATTGAGATTGTTAGATTTTTTTCATTGATGCCTGGGACGATGTCTATTGACATTCTGGGATTTATCGGAACGAGGGGTGCCGAAGAGGCGGGATATCCGAAGAAAGCGTACGAGTACGATGTAAAAGTACTTTCGCATACAAACGTGACAAAATATTGTGAAAAATAGCGCAGGTAAACAACTGAGCTCTGCATGACTCGTGAGGGGCGTGGTATGGAAAAAAGAGCCATCCCGTTTTTCTAAATCGTATTGAAATATCTACTACTATATAGAGTGCATATTAGAAAACTCACTCCCGTCTATTATGACATAAACTAATGCTTGTTTTCAATTAAAGAACAAAACAAACTTTGTGGATTTTTTTCTCATACAGAAATGAATACTTAAATAAAAACGAGCCAATTATTTGTATTAATAAAATCGAAAATTGCTTTTATTTGTGACAGAATAAATATTTTTAACTACATTGATTCTGTACGTATTTCTTATTAAGCGCTAAATATTTTACTTAATATCATGCATATTTTGTTATTATTTGTCTTCTTTCCTAATTGAATGAATATATATGTGCTCTCATTTAGCAAAAACGGTTAGAGAAACGGTTTCGTGGTTTTTTCTTAGAATGTCGCCGAAAGAAATCGAAATATCCAACAGAATTTCTCTTTACGTAGTCACCTACCGTATGCAGAATCTACCCCGAAATCTGACCATTGTGCACATCGAGCCATTTTACATAGAGATCAATGTCACATGTCGCATCGATATCTTGATCTGTAACCGACGAGCGACGGTTGGTCACAGTTTTTCGCAATAGCAAACAGCCGATTTGAAAATTTCCTCGCGTCGCATTTATACAAATTTTTTTCCGCGTTCGTTCCAATCAGATATCAAGAGTGCTTGGAATATTTTTTCAGCATATTAAGATGCTCTCGTTTCTAGAGAATCTGGAAGTTTTTTTACACGAGCGATCGAGATTTGCGAAAGAAATCGTCAGCTGTTCCTCGTGAAGTTCGTTGCCGTAACTATTCCCGCAATTTTATTTTTGTTACGCTGAAAGAAAAACAAAAAGTCGAATAATAAAAATCAATGCGTGATTGATGGACTATGTGTCGCGCTCCACTAGTGATTTAAATACATTTGCTTATCTTAAATCAATACTTTCATCTTAAATAAAAATCAGTCGACTTGTTGATCATTTTCTCACTTTTTAAAAAAGTTTAAAAAATTTTTGTTTATTCAATATCAATAAATAAAAGTTGTTAAAGATAACCTCTAATGTGGACAATAGATTAAATACGAATTAAAGCTATTATTAATTTCAATTCTCTTAATATTCATTTCTCTTAATAATCATTTCCATGTAAAAGTTAATATTTTCCTATGAACTAAGCCAATGATGCATCGCGGACCGCCGGCATCGGCGAGATAGACCGTGTTACAAACTTATTACCGAATCTCCTAATTATCGGGTCCCAATACCATGTAATAGCCTAGGCTAATAATAGCGGAGCAGTGCCCTTTTCTGCATTAATTCGGTGCTCGCCCACTGGCGAACATGTGGTGTGCGAATAGACTCGAGATGCGGCCCGACACACCAGCTGGTCTAGGAGGAAGGACGTCGGTCTCTCTTTCTTTCCTTTTTGCATCCTTTTACTGACCCTATCGTCCTTGTATCGCGGAATTTTGTCTAGCGACTAGGATGCCGCTCGAAAGAGTTGAAATCCATCACGGCATTTATATCTAAGCGCCTGCCGCGCAAACTTTAACTTTAGCTACAAATTTTCTTTTATAAATGAAATAATAAAACTTTCATGATAAATTTTAACATAATATAAAAAGTGCCACGTGGAATCAAGTTATCGGTTATTTTCTATTTCTAAAATGTGTAAACTTAAAACGGACAAATAAATTATTTGCTGCCCGATAATTTATTTTCTGCAGGGACGCGGGTTTTTTCATGTCCGACATGTCCATATCTTTTATCGAATATCTCTTATATCAACAAATTTTAGAATTTCTCCCACCCCTCGCGAAAACGCGTATCGAAGATTGACAAAGGTTTACCCTGCCATGTGAGTGCCACACGCAACGACGTTCTTTAAGCGGATAGACGGCCCCACTTTTTTTCGCCATTGCTCGAGGATACCTTCATGGATACGTGTCCAGTCGCGATCCAGTTTCGAGGGAGTTCGCTTTTGCCGTTCGAGATCGAGAAGGACGAGGAGAAAGACGATGCGGGAAGGATGGGAGAGGTAGGGAAAAATTGTATAAGATCCTCGTATAGCGGTTGACCAAGCCGAGCACCTGGTCGCGTTGAGAGATCGGGTCGGTTTAGGACGGATTTCGCAACGGACGCAACGCTCGCAAGGGAGCGAGCAGCTCTTGCACCGGCCGTTGGTCAGCTACCTCATTCAATAAATAATGAGGCGTGCGATCGATCCGTGCGGGACGGCCGCGAGACCGCGGCTGCACCTTCTCCTCGCAGGATTATTTGTCAAGGATCGATCGATCCAACTCGGACAATGACTCGCGCGGGGCTGGAAATCTTGGAGACGCGGAGAACGAAGGCGGCACGACACACCGATGCGTCACTGT